TGTTACTTTTCAGTATGGTGTTTTGTTATTTATTTTTTAATTGTATTTTAAAAATTAATTTATTTTGACTTATCAACAATCACTTTCATAAGCCTGAGTTTTAAATTTTTCTCCTTCTCCCTCCCTGAGATGGTGGGCGATCTGATATAGGAAAAACTTTTTTTGTTTGTTTGTTTTTGCTAGGCAATGGGGTTAAATGACTTGCCCATGGTCACATAGCAAGTAAGTGTCAGTCCTGAGACCGCATTTGAACTCAGGGCCTCCTGATTTCAAGTGCCAGTGCTCTATCCACTGTGCCACCTTGCTACCCCTGTAATGTAGTTTCTTTATCTATTTTAAATCTCTTTGTGTTGTTGCCTTCCCTGAGAGCATTATTTTTACCCTTGCCCTTTTTTTTCTTAACTTGTACTGAAGCTTAATAAATTTTGTTCCAGTCCCTAGTTTTCACTCTATATTAGTATTTAAAGTTTCAAGTATGTTTCTTGTAAACAACATCATTAGATTCTGTTTTCTAATCCATTTTGGTCTTCTTCCGTTATATGAATGAGTTCATCCCATTCACATTCCTAGTCATGATTTTTAATTGCTCATTTCTCTCTATCTTATTCCTTTAGTTTTCCTTCTCTTTGTTTCTCTGCCCTTCTTGATTGAGAAGAGGGTAGTGAGTGAATGTGCAGTCTCAGTGCTCCAGGTTTGATGAAATTTTGCTTCTCTTTCCCTGCCCCTTTTCTTGAAGTGTGTTTTGCTTAGAACCTTTTATTCCCCTTCACCTTACTCTTCCTGTGCCCCTGTTGAATAATATCTATTTATGCACCCAGCTCTGTGAGTGTATTCTAAAATACTTTGATCAGTTCAGATGAAAGTAAAGTTCCAAGTGGTCACCCATTTCCCCCACCCTTTTTCCCTTGTTTTAATTTTTACTTATGTATCCCAGTTATGTAAGAATTTCCCCCACTTCACCCTCTCCAGTGCATTCCTTTCCTTTTCTTAATTTTAATATTAAATCCACTCCAAAGACTGCCCCATGTCTTACTAGACTCTCTGTGACTCCTGATGTATGATCATATGTATATCATCTCCTGATATTAAAATGTAAACAATTCATCTTACTTTATTCCCTAAGGATTACTCTCTCAAATTTGCCCTTTTCTATTTGTTTTGTGCTGGTATTTAAAGATTTTATGTAATTTTTGTTTTTTCTAGTCAGGAATGTCTGGAAGTCCTGTATTTCATTAAAATGGTCTGACAAAACCCATGGACCCCTTCTTAGAATGCTGTTTTCAAAATGCATAAAAAAAATTTAGAATCGTAAAAGAAACAGAATTTTAGTGAAAATAATGATGTAATTTCCCCTCATTCAAGTTCATAGACTCCTGAAATCTGTGCATGGATTACTTTGGGTTCTCTGTGAACCTTAAGTGAAGAATTTTTACCTCTGAAGAATCTGTAGTGTCTTTGGTGTGGGTACTCTTTACCTACCCCACAATCTCAGTCATCTGGAGATTTGCTGCGGCCAAAAACTTTATTCCTTTGAGGCCAAATTGATGAGAGATTCTTCTCTTCTTCCTCTTCCCCCCTCCCCCTTCCCCCTTCCCCCCTCCCCCCTCCTCTGTTCTTCACAGTTGGGGTTAACTGACTTGCCCAGGGTCGCACAGCTAGTAAGTGTCATGTGTTTGGTCTGAGGTCGTATTTGAACCCAGGTCCTCCTGACTTCAGGGTCGGTGCTCTATCCACTGCGCAAGACATTATTCTTATATGACCTCATTTCCAAGAGTATTTCCGTTTTGGTATGCAGCACACCCTGAAGTTTGGACTTCCAGCCTTGCTTTGTACCGTGATGAAGCTTTAGAGACAACTTTTTTCGAAGACAGATCTTAAAACTAGCATTTCTAAAAAATACTTCCTGAAGGAAAACTTGCTTTTGCCAAAATTTTCTTACCAAATTTCAATTGGAGCTTGTTAGAAACTAAAACTGCTTATTGCAGAATTATTAAAATCATAACACCAGACCAACCTTTTTAAGTAGGTAGCTCCTGCTATGCTGCTAAACTTTTGAGACAGGAATTGTGGGTTTGGGGGGAAGCAATATATAAAGTATATAATTCAGATTAAAATTCATTTACTGTTTTTAAAAAAACCAACAAAAATGAAATGTCAAACATTGAAGTCACCTAGCAATGACGAAAGTATTCTACAGAAGACCTTAAACTACTCTTCCAGGTTAAATAAGTTTAAAATGAGTAAATAGTAAATAGTAAGTTTGTCTTACAGATTGTGTTATCATTTTGACATCAACTAATTTTCAAAATAGAGAGCTTTACTAATTAATCTTTTTGAAAGAAAAAAGTTGTGCTCATATACTACATAAGGCTGATGTTTGAGGCAAATCAAATCAAAATGATTCTAAGTATAAAATACTGTGTGACTTATGTCAAGCCTCTGGTGTTTCATTTTCTTTTTCATTTAAATGGCAGAAAACTAGGAAAAGCTATAGAGTAGAACATTATTTGAAAATGGCTGTCAGTAGGAAGACTTGTGAAGTGACTGACTACAGTAGTGTGGATGAAATAATCTTAAAGAGTCAGCAAAACACTGGTCAGATCCAAGTCAGTGTTAGTGCCATCCTGTCAGTGAGCAAATGCCTTTCTGTTCAAAATGGATTAACTTATTTTGGGGGGAATTTGTGTTGTTAGGAAACTTACTAGGAAATATCTATTAAAGCAAAACGGGGTAAGAAATTTAAAAAGTGGAATTTGGGGAAGATTTATGCAAGGTAGTGAAGAGATGGGACAGCTTCAGTGAAGAATTCTGTCATTACAGTTAAACATGGCAGTTCCTTACTTTTAGTTGAGTGTCACTATTTTCTCTCATTCTTATCAATTTGACATAAGCTTTAGCTTAAATATCTGTTGGTAGTATTAAGGCAGAGTGCTAGGTTTAGATTCCAGAATCTAGGTTTGACTCTATTGATACATTATAGTGGTGTGATGGACAAATCTCTTAATTTTTTCTAGGCCTCAGTTTCTTCATTTCTGTGGTGAGGGACTTGGACTAAAAGATCTCAAAGGTGCCTTCCTTGTCTAAATCTCTGATCCACTGGTTTTAAGTAGTCACTCTTGTTTTATTATTGTGAATTATTTGAAGAGAAATTTAATTGGAGTCAAATGAGTATTTAGGAAAGTTAAGAGAAGAAGCCATTGTAGCCAGCTTTTGATTAATTCTGATAATTCCTGGTTTTAATATGAACGACTCAATTTCTCAGAAAATCTTAAAATTTGAGCTTAAATTTTTACAAAGTTTTATAACAAATTGTGACATTCAAGGTTGTTGGTTTCCTCAGCCATTCCGTACTGCCTCTGGTATGGTTGTCTGAGCCAGTACCTTTAATGTTAGAGATCTTATTAACAGCAAAATAACCCATTCTATTTTCTTACAGTTTTACTTGTTGAGAAGTTTTTTACATTGAGCTGAAATCTGATGCTCTGTAATTTCTGCCCATTAGGCAGCATTCCTTCAAATATTTGAAGACAAGTATTATTTCTAAAGGTTTTTTTCCAGTCTTTTCAACCTATTTCTATGATCTTGATTTCTGGTACCTTAAACTTGCACTGTATTCCTCTTAAAATGTGGCACTTTGAATTGAGCACAATACTTTTCAGGTTTAGTAACAAGCTAATGAAAAATTAAAATCTGTCAATATAAAATAAAACTTAAACCTTTCTTCTGATTATAATTATTTTCTGTCTTTTATTATAGTCCAGGGCTACACAGCTTGCCAGCCCATGGGCCACTTACGGCGAGTTGTACAGGCCTGTTAATGGTCATTCTTAGTAAAAGTCCACTAAAACTTATCTTCAAAAAGGTTAACATAATTGGTGGAAATTGAGTTTTTGTTGTCTTGTTTTGGGTGGATCAAGTGTTTCAATGGCTAATTGAAGGCGTTAACCTTTTCTAGTTCAGGCTGTAGACTTTGGGACCTGAAGTGAGTGAGTTTTAGTTGAATGATTATCTTCAGAGAAGAGGGTAATCCTTCAGCATGACTCACCCATCTTATTGGCACTTTTCACCTTTGCTCAGTGTTGAGTTTCTGAAGTCACAGTAGGTCATTCCAGAGGCCATATGAGGAAGCTTTCTGAGAACAGGCAATGTCTTCCTTTTTCTAAGGAGCAAAAATATTTAACTTAGAGTGATCTTTATATTAGGTCTTTTTCTCAGACTTTCTTAGCTAACTTTAGATGATCTTCACTGACTGGTTTTATGATTCTGCTGTGGCCTTACAAACTTAGTCTATATTAACTGTTTATTGGAATAGATTATTTGTGAACTTCAATTCTGTGGCATGAAGAAGGGAGTAAGTACCAAAATGCTGTCATTAGTTTTATTCTTTGACCTATCAACTAAGATATAAAATAATAGAATTTTAGAACAGCAGAAAGGGGACCTTAGAGGTTTTTTAATAGGAAAAATATTATGTATAGGCATAAGTATTAGATAACATTTTTTGACTGCAATGGTAGACATGTAATACGAGCTCAGCAAATATTGTTAAATAATGAGTTAACTTTTAGTCTGTTAAGTGAGAGATGACTTGAAGACATTTCAGGGTTATGTGCATTTAGTGAATGTCGGGTTTCTCCAGGGGACTAGATTCCCCACTTTTTAGTTGACCTTCATAGCTTTCCAAGTTAGTTTCTGGTACATTAATGGACTGTTTTTCTTGCATGTATTTTTAGTTAATAAGTTTTTGGACTTGTGACAGTTAATTTAGTTGTGGTTTGCACTCTTCTAATTGTAGTTGAAATCTAATCTAGTCTGAGCTGTTAGGGGAATACAAAGAGAGACCGCTTAAGAATTTGATTCCTATTCCTTCTAAATTAGCAGAGTTCATCTCTTCTGCATGGTTTGTAGATTACTTTTTCTGTTTGGTTTTTTTTTTTGGTAGCATTTAGTTTTAAACATCTTGCTAACTAGAAAATATGCTTGTTTGTTGGCTATGGCAGTGTCAACTGAGGAAAGCTGGACAGAGAGCAGTCCCGGAAGGTGCCAAACTCACAGGTGTGGCTACTACTACCTGTAAGGGAGCAACTTATCAATTCTGTTTTGGTATACCAAGGTTGCAGAAGTCCAACTAACAGGTAAAAATTAAATTGTAATTTGTCCTTAAGTGGTGCTTAAAATACAAATTATTTTCTATTTTTTAATGTTATATACTGAATGTAATTTAAATGTTAGGTTTTGTCAAAGAAGCATTTTTGGGTATTAGAAATCTATCTAGTATATAATTATTTGTCATGTGGTTTTGTTGGACCTATTTTAGAATTTTAATAAACATTATAAATACATTTCTAATGGATTTTATGTGCAAAAGTACATTGGTGTCCTTGTTTTGAACAATATTAAGCTAATGAAATTTCCAAAACAAAATTCTTAAGGATTTCAAGTAGCTTTTTGATTATGCTTTTAGTGCAGTCATATGTTAAAAATATGAAAAGAGTTGAAATGGTAGATCTTCATTGATTCAAATCAAGGAAACTTGCTAGAACTTGCCTTAAAGAGCAAGCCACTGCACAAAATTTTGGGGGGAATCATAAAAACCGTAAGATTTTTGTTTTTGTTTTTGTTTTTTTAGAAACAAACCAAAAATTTAGTGTTTATATAAATTCAACCTGCTGACAGCAGCAACTCATGCATTCTTTAATTGACTGAATGTCAGAAAAAGGTGTTAGGGTAGCTGTGGAGCATATAGAAGATGTTAACATGGAGTAGGAGTGACTGTGATCCCTATCATCCTGGAATTTATAATTTGTCTGAGGAGATATTTATTATGTTTTTATTAATTCCTTTTTTAAAGAAACATCTCTAACATTTTCCCCTGTATTCCTTTACCTGCCCCTCCTGGTAAGCCACCCCCATATAACAAATAGTATTTTTCAAAGGCGAAAAAAGAAAAAGAGGGAAAAATCATTGTAGATCAGTAGAGTGAAAAAAATCTAAAATTTGTGCAGTATGCAGTGCTTATAGACCCATTGCTGCAAACAGGTGGACTTATAAATATCTTCGTGTGTGTGTGTGTGTGTGTGTGTGTGTGTGTGTGTGTGTATGTGGCAGTTGGGGTTAAGTGACTTCCAGAGTCACACAGATAAGTGAGTGTTATATGTCTGAGGCCAGATTTGAACTTAGGTCCTCCTGACTCCAGGGCCGGTGCTCTATCCACTGTGCCACCTAGCTGCCCCTAAGTGTCTTCTTATGTCTCTTCTTTTGAGTCATACTTCTTTTTTATAAATATTCAGTATTAATTTTTGATTTTTGATTTTATTCTTATTTATTTGTTTATTTATCGATCTATCTATTTGTTTATTTATTTTGCTGCTTTTCATTTACATTGTTGTAGTCACTGTGTAGAGCAGCTAGGTGGTGAAGTGGGTAGAGTGCTGGGCCTGAAATTAGGAAAACTTATCTTCCTGAGTTCAAATCTGGCCTCAGACACTTAATTAGCTGTGTGATCCTGGAGAAGTCACTTAACCCTTCTTGCCTCAGTTTCCTGAGCTGGAGAAGGAAATGGCAAACTACTCCAGTATCTTTGCAAAGAAAACCTGAGTGGGGTCACAGAGAGTCAAGTATGACTAAAAACGACTGAGCAACAACCAAAAGTCGTTGTGCGTGTTGTTTTTCGTGGCTTTACTTCCTCCACTCTGCATCAGTTCAGGTAGGTCTTTCCATGCTTCTGTGTACATCAATTTCTTATAGTGCAGTAGTCCGTTACATTTTTCTACCAAGTTTATTTAGTCATTCCCAAGTTCAGTGGGCATCTTTGTTTCCATGTTTTTGCTGTCAGAAGAAGTGTTGTTATGAACATTTTGACATATAGGGGGGCGTTGTTTTTATCAGTGACGTTTTAGTTACTTTATTTGTATAATTCCAAAATGGTTTCCAGAATGATCGTGCAGGTTTGAACTCTAGCAGCAATGTATCGGTTTGCCTATCTTTCCACAGACCACCCAACACAGATTATTTCCATCTTTTGTTATCTATAAATTTGCAGGGTCTGAAATGAAATCTCAAGGTTGTTTTGATTCATATGTCTCTTATTTGTGATTTGATGAGTTCTTTTATGTGATTGTTAATAGTTTGCAGTTCTTTTGAGAACTACTCTTTCATATCTTCTAACTACTTACCTTTTGAGGAATGGCTTTTGGTCATATATACATGTGTTCATATTTATACATATGTACATACCTGTTTGTTTGTAGCTTGAATTACCCTACCCTCATCAGAGACATTTGGACCTAGAATAAGAAGGGAATCAGGCAAATGGGGAAAAAAATTGTGTCACATTTTTCTAATAAGGGTTTGGTATCTAAGAAGTGTAAATAACTAATCAAAGAGTTTTAATATTTGTTGAATTTTTACATTGAATTAGTGTCTAAGGAGCTCAGTGTCCTGGGAATGATCAGGGAAGATCTCAGGATCGTAGATCTTGAGCCTGCAAGCAGCATAAATTCTATCGCATAGAAACAGTTTGGGGAGGATAAGGACCATAGGAGGTGGAATCAGAGAAGACTTTATGGTGAGCCCATGGGGTTCTTAAGAGAGAGAGTTGAGGAGAGAGTGCTTTTCAGGCCTTATGGCCAACTGTGGAATGGAGACTAGATATGGAATAGCCATTTTGGATGAAATGTAGAACTTGTGAGAAGGATTAGTATATAATAATAAGCACAGAAAGGTAAGATCATAGGAGCATAGATTTAGTAGGGGCTTTGGAGACCATCTAGTCTAGCATCCTCATTTTACAGCAGAGGAAATGTTAAGACCCAGGAAGCATAAATGACTGGCCCAGGAGAACCACAAAGCCAGACTGCTGAAGGGCTTTATATGTCAAATACAGTAGTGTGTATGGGATCCCAGAGGAACTAGAGAATGATATGTGGTCAGAGACCATGACTTTTAAAATATCAGTTTGACACTGTGTGGGAGATAATTTAGAAATAGGACAGAGACTAAGTAAGAGACTATTGTAATGGTGCAGTTGAGAGGAGATGATCTGAGCTCTGGGTGGTCACTATGTGAATGAATCCAAAAAGGGATGGAGTGTAGAGATGTTGATTTTCCCTTAGGACTTAGTAGCTAATTGGATATAGTGAATGAAGGAGCATGAAAGTGTGAGTTATTGGAAGAATGGTGGCACCTTTTACAGAGATAGGAAATTTGGGAATAGATGGGTGGGTTTTTATGGAAATAGCAGAAATTTTGAGTTTGTACAAGGGGGATCTAAGGGGAAATGTACAATGATAGTTGATTGGTAAGCTGAGACTAAAGCTCAGGAGGAAGACCAAGCCTGGACATAGAATGATTCTGGTATCATTTGCATAGAAGTGATGATTTAACTGTTGGAGCTGATCAAATCACTAAGAGAGTAGGTCTATACAGAGAGAAGAGCTCTTTAGACAGAGCCTAGGGTACATCTCATGGCAGGGATAAAGGTAGAAAAAATTACTTATTGCATAGTAACATCTATCTCATTGATGTTCCACATAAGTTGAATTTAAAAAAAAAAAGAATTTTATGAATATAAATTATGAATATAATACAGTTTTTTAAAAAATATATGAAACTTCTGTCTTTAAGTGCCAAGCTTACAGTACTTTCACCATTTCTGCTGGAACTTTAATGAACTTAATCCATTAGTTGTAAGTCTCTAATGCAGAAGAGAGCTTTCCCCAGAATTCATTATATAATTTTCAACAAACAGTATACAAAACATAATGTAATATTTCCTTGCTTTTTGACTCAGAGTTACTTTACATAACATACTGTTGCTGTTTTGTACTGTAGTATTTTGATAGCCTCATTTTGAAGTTTTTGCCATGACAATAAATACTAAAAATAGTGCTTTTTTTTGAGTTCTTTAACTATGAATTATTACTGTAAGTGACTCTACCTTTAACAGTTTCCTGACCCCAGTTATTTTGCTTCTAATGCTTTAGCCATTCATTAAGATTGTAAATTGTTGTGAGGATCTTAGACGCTTACCTATCAATAAAGTCCATATTTCTGCAACTCCATCTCTTATCTTGAAGAAATAAAAGGAAAAAGAGTTGTAAATGTTTTTTTTCATAAGTCAGCATTTATTATTTAAGTTGAAGAACAGGGTTATGAAGGGGGTGGGGAGACACATTCATAACAGAGTCCAAGGTGGAGCCCTAGGGAAGAGGGAAGAAAGGAGGAGACAAGGAGATGAGAGCCTCTCCTCTGAGTCTGCTCTAGATGGGGTTGGTCCTCGATTTCTGAATAAAGCGCAAGATAAGGTGAGGTTCCAGGGGCTGCAGGTTTAGGAAACTTCAAGAAGTGAGGGCTGGGATTCTCTTTGGATTAGCAGCACCACTTCCTTTTAGGAATTGAAGCATAGTGATAAGTTCCATCCCACTTGTTTCAGCTCTTACAAAACATTCTTGTAGTTAAAGCCTTTGTGCTAAAGAATTCTTTCATCGCCTCTCTTAACTTCTTGTACTTTGCTTCTGTTTCCTTTGAACATGCATCCAACGTGTAAGCTCCTGCTCCAGAGCTGCTACTTGCTCCTCAGTTAAAGTGATCTGATCCAGATAAGGCTGAAGTGCTGCATGTGTCTGGTTTACGTCCTTTAATGATATCTTTCATTTCTAGATATTTCAAGCTAGTCAGTTTGTTCATATTTTCCAGAAGGTTATGGTGCTCACTGGTGGCAGTCAGCTCGCCTGTTAGGTATGTGGCCATTTGGGAGAACATGTCCTGGCACAGCACCATGATGTCTGCCTTGGCAGGCTCTGTGGCCTCCTCAGCCATCTTCACCATGGCATGGTCTAGGCTGATAAAGGGAAGGAGAAAGGATGGAGGGAAGGCTGGGGATAGGTTGGGGGGGAGGGGAAAGTAGGGAACGGAGGGAAGGGGAGCAAAAGGGATGGGTGAAGAGTCGAGAAGGAGGTAAGGGGAGGGAGAGGAGTTGTAAATCTCGAAGTGGTATGTGAATATAAACTTTTATTTAGTTATTAGTTTAGCTACTCCAGTATCAGTTTTGCTTATTTCAGCAGTGTAGCCTGTGTTCGCATTAAATCGAGATTAGTAGATAAAAGATGACTGATCAAGAATTTTACTGTATATA